GTACCATTATCAAGACGTTCTTTTAATGTTGTTTCTTTTAAATTTGAATATTGACTACGAATACATGAATGTGCTAATGCAACAACCATTGATTGTTCAGCTAAACCAATACGAAGTTTACCAATTAATGATCGAACAAGATAACGACTTTCATGAGATTGACAAGAAATTAAAAGACTTTTTATTATATCACTTTTACGTTGTTGACTCTTTTTAGAAAAAAAAATGTCGTTTTTTTTTTGAATCAATGAAAACGAAAAAATGTTTACTTTGTTTCCAATTAATTGTGCAATAGATAAAATTGAAAATTACCTCAGCAACAAGACCCAAATCTCCTTTAGGTTTATAATCTGATTTTAATTGCTCAACAGTACGTCCAGTACTATCAGTGATAGCTTTCATAATTATTATTTCACCAATACCTAATTACGAATTATTTCTAAACGAGCTGATATCTCTTCAATCAATAATAATGTTGATAATAATGCACTGTATGGTACACAAAAATATAAACAGAATATTGAATAACTTATTTTTTTAATACACTTATAATATCGAATGATCTTTTTTTTTCATAATAAGTATCAAATGACGCAGAAGAAATTACTGTCTGCATTTTTTCCTTTATTATCCCCCTGATTCAAATACTTCTTTAATCAAAAGGTAGAGCTTGAAATTCAAACACAAAATAGTATACTTTATTGAACGATAGCATCACCCAGGTCAATCCATTCGCTAATTTACAATGCTGAGAGTGGCTATGTATGAGCGATTTATCATCAGAATCTGATGATGAAGATTGTAATGGTTCTTTATTTTCTATATGAATGGATGGTGGTTCGACTTCTTTTTTTGGTGTTTTTATTATTGATGAATCTTTTTTTGCGAAAAAAAGAACTTAAACAAATCGATTTAAATTTATTAAAATTAAACAAAAGAAAATTTTTGACATACGCAATTGATGGTTGATTAGTTTTTTTTTGATTACTCTTTGAAATTTTCTTTTTACAAGTTGATAAATATCTTAAATGATATTCATTATTAAATAAAATTTGAACAAAGCGAATAGATAAATAAACAATGTCTTACAGACATCTGAAATATTTTTAAGTAAAATAATCATTGGTTTTTTTCATCTATCCAATAAAAACTATGCTGTGACTGCAATGAGGACAAAATTGTTTGTTCATGGCTTACATATATTCTTCGTTTATTTATTCGTTTTTTTGTTATTCATGTCGATGGCAACTTGCAAATATAGTTTTAATGCTCTAGTTAGTTAATTAAATATTCTCTGCTTTTTTTTTAATAAAAAAATTCTTTCGATTTAAAGCGTCGAGCATCGTCATCTGCTGCTGTTGCTTCAACTGTAAATCAGAGAAATGTTCCTCAAACAAAAACAGGTCAATTTGGAGTTCCACAAAGGATTAATTTACCAAAAGAAAGTATTAATGTAAGAGATAATTTTTTATTTCGTTTATTTTAAAAATCATATGAATGTTTTTAAAAAGGTAACTAAATTACCAAATGGATTGGTTGTGGCTTCAATGGAAAATAATTCACCATTATTTCGTGTTGCTGCTGTTGTTGATGCCGGAGCTAAATATGAACCTTATGAAATGCGAGGTGTCACAACACTTCTTCGCGTTTTCTCGAATTTGGTAATTTTAAATTGAATATTTTGTTTTTACGAAGGAAATTTTCTTTGTGAAAAGAAGTAGCGCTTATACTTTTCCGTACCGCTTATTATTTTTAAATCTAATTCGAATAAACCGTTTATAAAGTTAAAGTACTTCGACGTCAAAAGCCTTTGATCAGACTTTATAAGACTTCATCTTAGAGAGCCTATTATAGACAAACATTTCAAGCTTACAAATTTTCTGTCATTAGTTAAGAATTCTCGACTACTTTTAATGGTGGAAAGCAGTTTCGTTCGTTTTTCTGGCAAATATCGAACAAGAAATAGTAGAGTCTTGCAAGGGTAAGACTTTTTCGTACTTTAATCCTACTCTAACAAATACAAAATTATCACACATTTAAAAAGGTTCGTAAGAATAAAATATCATTAATAAAAACATGAATCGATTTTGTTGCCTCTTTTTCATATACACTGAATTTTGCATATTTCCATGATCATTTTTTTAAATCAACTTGAAAACTGTTAGAAGTTCATTTAGGCTTGTTTTCTCGAAAAAAAGCAAATTTCTCATGTCAAGAAAAACTTATTATTTTTTTTATTGATTTATGTAGAGCACGAAATATGTCAGTCGACTTGGTTTAACAAAGAATTTGGAACGTTTGGGTGCCAATTTTAAGTAAATAGAAAAAAGAAAATTTCATTGAATACAACAAAAAAAAAATATTTCTGTATCAATAAATAGATGTACACAAACACGAGAACAAATGATTTATTCAGTTGAAGGTCTTCGAAATGAATTGTATGTATTTAATTTTTTTTTTGATTTAAGAAACAAATTCAGTTTATTTTATTTTTTTCATTTAAAAAACAAAACAGAACACATGGAGCTCAATTTTTAGTTCCTATTGTTTGTTATCCACTATTCAAACCCTATGAAGTTCATGATGAACATGAACGAGTAGAACTTGATCATGAAATTTATTTAAATTCACCTGAATTACGTATATTATATTATTTTATTTCAAAATTTTGTGTTTTTTTAAATAAAACTTTTTTTTTGTTTTAGAATTAAATGATTTACTTCATACAGCAGCATTCAAAGGTGGTTTAAGTCGAGCATTATCAATTAGTCCTGGAATGATGAAAAAATTATCACATAGACAAGTAAAACATTGTTTAGATTTAAATTTTGAATTGAAAAAAAATGTTTTTTTTTTGTTTTTGTTTATTGAAATAGATGTATTCATTTCATTCGCATTATTATACACCTGATCGAATATCATTAGTTGGTACTGGTTGTAATCATCAAACACTTGTTCATTTAGCGGATAAATTTCGTTTTTCACCACTTGATTGTGTTTATACACCAGGTTTTGGAAATATTAAATTAATTGATTCCGAACCTGAACCATCAAAATATAAAGGAGGTTTGTTTTATTGATTTATTTATTTTTTTTTGTCATATTTTTATTAAAAAATATCTTTATTATAGGAGAAATTCGACGTGATACTCAATCAAGTTTAGTTCATATTGCATTAGCATGTGAAGGTGTTAGGTATTTAATAACAAAAAAAAAAAAATATCGAATTTCGTATTAATTAAAAGTTATTTTTAGTTCAAAAGATGAAAAAGGTGTTTTAACAAGTTTATTATTAAATGAAGTAATGGGTAAAGGTCCAAATATAAAATGGTCAGCCGGATCAAATCGTCTTCAACGTGCTGCACAAGCTGTTGCTGATGGACCTTGTTTGGTTAATTTTATTATTTTTGAAATGATTAAAATAATCTTCTATTTATTTTTTTTTATTATTTATAAAGGTTTCATCATTTAATCTTCATTATACTGAATCAGGCTTATTTGGTGTTCATATTATGTGTAACAAGAATGATACAAATAAGGTTGTCAAAGCTGTTTGGAACGAATTTAGTAAAGTTTTAAAAAATGGTATTAGTAAAGAAGAATTAAATATTGCTAAGTAAGTTTAAATATCAAATAAATAATACATGATATTGAAATATTAATAAGAAGGCATCTGTATTGAATGACTTAACAATTAACTATAGATATTGAAAGATGATATTCTATCATAAACTATAAAACAACAGTTTTATGTGAGAAGATTCGCAAGTGTCACTCGAATTAACGTTTTATCTATAAGTTAGTCTCGACGAGACTATATGAGTTCGTTCTTGTGCGCTGTCTTTTCTAAGCTATAAACAATAATACCATTTAAATTGTTCGAAATATATTCAAAGACAAAATTCATGATAAAAATAATTATACTATGATGAATATTTTTACTCACTATCATTAACTTAGTAGCGACCGTTGTTACTCATAGTTCAAAACTAATTCATTTGGATTTCTCTTTCGAATATTTTCGGATGAGCAAAAGCCTGACGCAATCATTTGTAATTCCGGTGTAATTGTATGTCTCTTATTAAATTGGAAACTTTGTTGAAAGTTGACTATATCAAATATTACTATTCACAGATGGAATACTTGAACATCTTGTCGTTGTAATATCGATAATGGTCAGAAAAAATTCACATTGGTTCCATCTTTGCACTAGATTTTTTTTTTGAGATTGATTTATATAAATAGTGAAACGATGAACTTTCAGTTCTTCTCCTCTGTTATTTTGAGTTCAGAAATGTTGTTTCGATCACATAAACATATTATAATAAGATCGTCTGGATTTTCATATCATAGATAGACTTTTAGCATAAATGTTATATATCTTGGTAAATGCTCTAATGATGTATATTAATTGAGGTTTAAAGCACGCTATTTTCTCCTCGATATGAATTTATATCCGAAATGAACATGTTCATGATGATATATCTGATTATATTTTTTTTAATTGTTTATAGAAAGAAACTTCAAGTAAATCTTCAAATGACAGCTGAACAATCTTCGGATGTTTTTTCAAAAATGTTAACTCAACCAGATGTTAGTGATCGATTAACTGATGTTCAATCAATTGTTGCACAAATTGAACAAAGTGATTATTCAATTGATTCAATAAATCAATTAGCCAAGAAAATGTTAACTGGAAAACCACCAACAGTAGTTTCTATTGGAAATCTTAAATCAATGCCATATCTTGATGATTTAAGAGCATAAACTTTCTTTCATGTTTTTCTTTTTCTTTTTCATATAGCTTGTAGAACTTACATCAAGATATGAGATGATTATACACACACACAAAAAAGACACGTTACGAAATAAAATGCCCGTTCTATCCCAAGGTTTATTTTCTAGATCGAAATATTTCTTATTAAAATAAATGTTGAAGAAGGAGAAAGAAAAAAAAAAGAAAAACGAAGAAATAATTGAAAGATTTGATTATTTTATTTTTAAGCAGTTCCATCCATCATCATCATTGTCATATTCATTGGTGATGATGATAGTGAATGATTTGTTGTTGTTGTTGTTGTTGTTGAAGAAATTTGATTATCATTTGATACAATTGTTGTTGATGATGGTGGTGTTGCTGATAATGTTGTTAATTTATTTAATGAAAGAAGAGTTTCAGGAAAATTTGGTGGTGTTGCTGGAGTATTTGCAGGTGTCATTAACTTATTTAAATTAAATTATTTTCATATAGAATATATAAAATATAAATAATTACTTCTGAAAATTTGCAACAAGGAATTGGCATTGTTCGTTCATCGAAGAATAAATTAATTGCTGCCTAGAAGAAAATAAAAATCTTCTTTTTTGTTTTTCTTTTTTCTTATGTTATTTTTAAATATAAATAAATCTTACCTCTAGTCTATAGTCAGTTGAAATTAATAATTGTTTAGCTTGTTCATGTGTACATCCGGTTGTTGCGGTCATTTGATTTATAATAACAAGATGAGCTAATGTTTCATTATTTATTGTTGAACAATCCATCGTAGTCATGACTTAGTACAATCTTATAACAAAAGAATAAAAACATAAGAAATTTAATTAACTAAATCGATTTGTTTTATCAAAAACGTGTCCAGGCATTAAAACATAATCATTTTTCTTATCGAAGAGATCTATTTTATTTAGAATAAAAAAAAAACATAATAATATTGACTTAGGGGAAATAAAGAAAATCTTTATCGAAGAAATTCTATAAAATATCATAAGCATCTAAAAAAAAAACGAGTAGATTTAATAAAATCTACTCACGAAAAGGAATATAACTATGATGTATAGATATATCGATTGTCGTGATAAATGTATGCGTGTATATATGTGTTTATATATATACACGTTTCATCCGAACAGATGATGAGATGTGTGTGTGTATGCATGTTGTACTCTCAATCCAACCGAAATGTCACCCACCACCATCGCCCTATTTGCCGAGAGGAAAGAGAGAAGGAAACAAGTGTGTTGTGATAGAGGTTGATGATTACATTCCTCGCTTTTGCGTCTCGTTAGCAGTTTTTCCTTTTTTTTTCTCCCTCTCTCTCTCTCTCTTTCTGGCCCCGTTTGTCGGTGAAAAAAAAACTCTTTACATTGCCTTGTCGAAAGTTCATTCTTCTTTTTCTTCCGGTGTATGCGGTAAATCAAAGCTTCCGTCTTTATTCACACATGCGATTATCATCATTCAATGTTTTGTTCAACGTGCTATAACACAAGCTTAGACGTATATAAATTCAATTATAGGACTACTCATTTAGATAAAAAAAATTCTTCAGCACAATATCATGAATTTCTTTACCTGAATATAGAGAAAAAAAAGAAAAATAAGATTACTGAATGTTAAATTGAGTTTTGTTGGAAACTAGATTCTTTTCTGTTTCTCATTCGTCGTATTTCACTAGCATCGATAAGAAAAAGAATAGCATCAACTGAATACTCATTTCTACATATGCAGGATGAACGAAGAAAAAACACAATGAAAAAAAAAACAAGAATCAATGCTAGCCCTTTTTCTTTTTTTTTACATCCGTTTGCTTTAATAATCGAGTAAGATTGACAAAGAACATTATGTTTTTAGATGATGAAATATGATTTCTATTGATAATAAAATGCAATTGAATATAAGCAAAAAGTTTATTAATTGATAATGACACGAATGGTTTTAAATCAAAATCATATATTGAATCTTTGTCAATTATCTTAGCTTAATCTATTTGATCAAATATTAGTTTTTTTTTTGTTGTCGTTAATAAAGATATTGTTGAAAATACGATAGATGAATTTTGATAAAAAAAAAATGTCAGTTGGGATTTACAATCGGAGAATAAAATATACGATAGACGACCATTATTTATTTATAAATTCAGTAAGATAGATATTAAACTACTGTTTTTTCTTTATTTTTTTTTCCTATTGATCAAAATTGAATCTAAAAATAGATCATCAAATTTTTCTAAGAACTATTCTCGATTTTATTATTGGATTTCTGAATTAATTAGCTTGTTCTTCAGTCTTATACAAGATTGTATATGATTGGTTGAGTGATAGTTGCTCTTTGTACCGTAAAAAAAAAAGGAAATTATTTTTTTGATAAGTATAATTTTCAAAACTTTTGATAATGATCAGATGACAATATCGACAAAGAATTTTACTGTTAAGTATGGAGGATGATCAAATCATTTGGAAGTATTTTTGTTTTGGAAGAGTTCAGTATTCATAATGAAAAATTCATAAATTGATCGATCTATGTGCTTTACTTATAATAAAATCATTTCAAGATTGGCCTATCTATCATATAGTAAGAATGATTGTAGAACATTCAATATTATTTTATTATTATTCTTCGTTTTTTTAACATCTAACTGTTTTAATAAATTTTATAAATCATTTATTATTGTAGATTACTACAATTGATAGAAAGGTTTTCAGAATCAAGTATATCATCAATCACGACAAAAAAAAAATTAAATAAACATTCGGACATATTCGATGAATATGATGATATTATCTCTTCTAAAAGAAACGAGAAATGTAAAAATTTATTACGGAATACGTACAGATAATAATTATATAATTAAAGGACAGTTGCTAATTCTACATATTAAAAGATTGTGCTTTAAAAAAATCTACACAAAACAAAGAGAGATTACTTTTGAGAATCGATTTTCTTAAAAGTAATTGCTACAGTTTATTGATTTCTTTTAGTATTTATATCCATAATAATATCTACATCCAGTATGGATGATATTTTACATTCGCTGCCATAGCAACGCGTCAGTTTTGAGTTAGAAAAACAGCTAATAGGAAAGAAGAATCTATTAAAAAAATGAGTTTTTGTATTGCAAAACATATTATGGAGTCACTTCAGTGAACTTTTGTGATATAATTTGAATAAAATTCTTTAGATTTTCTATATGAAAAAAATGTTCATACACCTAGATCTTTCTAAAATAGGAATATAGTTTATCATCAAGTAGTACATTCATGATTAAAAAACTAGTGGCATATTTCACTATGAAAAAATTGCATCTAACCTATTCAAACGTCAACATAAGCTATTGACTTCAATAAGTTTGACAAAAATAGTTTAATTTCCTTTTTTTTTTTGATAGAATATCATCAGTGTTTTTCTCATTCTGCGTGTATGATAATAACTAAAATAAACTCATTTACTAACGATGTATCGAGGTAAAATGAATTGAAACTAACAATTGTTTGTAATTTCTTTCGTACTTAAGAATTAAACAGAACCACATACAAAATACAAATTGTAACATAATTCCAGTTTATAATATTCGTCAGGTTTTTTCATAAACTATAATCTAAAAGCCAAATTTTCTTTGAAATTCATGTTAATATATGAGAAATAATAACGCTTTTCATTCAAACGATGAGTATGAATTCTAATACTGTTTTGTGTTTATAGCCAATGCGGGAAATTAATATAATAGTTTTTGCTAAGACCATTCGTTATATCAATCTTCTTGTGTGACATATAGTCAAAATATTTGCACAAGAAACACTATAGGCTATGTCTGAAAATATTTATTTCAAAATCAAAATATCTTGTTCTCATTGATTTTAGATGGTGAGAGATTCTATTCAGCTGCATCTCTCGAATTTCAATTATATTTTTTGCCTATAGACACTAAATAGTGTTTTAATTAGACACATCAGATTTTTGGAAAACTCCTCCTTTCGAATTTTGATCTGGAACTTTGTGCATATAGAGAACTGAACTAGGTTAAATTCCATTAAAAAAATCTAGAATTTTTTAACAAAGTATTTCGAAATATGAATTGTTTAAAAAATGCATATTGTAAATACTATGCGTGGAAAATATTTTATATCTTGAAAGTCTCATATCTCAAAAAAAAAAAAAGTTTGTTCAAATATTTTGAATTTGTTATAGAAGCTAATCTAGTTCTCTATATGCAGATCAAAAATTCTAAAATACAAAGTTTCCGAAAACTGTGGGTCTTCAGAAGAAAGATATATTCAAAACTCGATAGCATAGTATTTACAATATGTTTTTCATGTTTTTCATGTTTTTCAAAAATAATTAGTTGTAAAAGGATTTTCTCTCATATATTATTGAAGAAAAAGACATCTCCCTCCCCTCATTCTCGGTCTCCTCTTTCGGTTAGTGAAAACCACAGGTCTCTAGCTGCTTGCATTCCTAAGTTATTCAAAAACCAGCGAAGCCTATTGTTTTTTGAAAAGGATAATAATTGTCTTTAAAATTGAAGAAACAACTGGGATTGAGCTGGTTGTCTTTCCAATTTTAAGGTCAACTAATTGATTTTCGTATAGTGAATATTTATTTATATGCTAGACAGAATGTTTATTGAATAGATAAAGTTGAGACAAAGAAATGAACATTGAATGAAATCATATCAATAGTGAGCAAGGAAATCGAAAAATCTCATAGGACGAGATAAACAACAGGAGATCTAACAATTTTTACATTTTGATTGTTTATCACTGTGACATGTTGTACAACATTTTCGTTTGTTTTTCCTGCAATAACATCGATTTGTGTTGCAATTATTGGAACATTTACAAGTTTATATTGATTTAAAATTTGTGTAAGTTTGACTTGCTTGAAGGAAAGTCATTGTCAGTAATCCATCAACATTAACAACTCGTAATGATCCTAAATTCACTGTTATAAGATCTAAAAATGCCAGTGAGTCAAAATGTTCTTTTATAATACCATTTTTTGTAGCAACTGCGTACATAAATTCATCATTTCGGAGATATTGATCTATTTGTAAAATGGTGGAGGAAGTATTTAGATGATCAACATCTGAAACTTTTAATCCAACAATTTATTTTACAATCGGTTATTGCATAATCATTTAACGTTTCTACATTTCAAAGTCAACTAGTTGACTTTAAAATTGGAAAGACAACTATTTGTTTTTTAAAGGCAACTAAATTTTATAGTCAACTCCGACACATATTTCATTAAAATTCCCAAAAATATATTTCGATACAAGCTAATATTAAAGGTTTAATAAATAAAAACCTCCATTTTTGCTTAGAATGCAGTACAAATTGCAAATATATCGAAATATGTACAACGATAGCGTGACATGTTGAATAGTCTAAAATCATCTTAATGTTTTGGATACGAATGGTATTCTGTAATGCAATGTTCTAGAAAATGACTACAAAATTTCAATAAAAGTACATTTCAAACGATTATATTTGATAAAGTGTGTTAAGTTCTATATGTATGTGTAGTTTTTATGTTACAAAAATGAACGACATAAGCAACCAAAAATATATTATAAAGTTAATTTGGTTATAAATTTCGTAGATATTTAAAATTTATCTGAAGATGATTTGTTGAACGAGTAATTTGTATTTTATCGATTAAGATCTTATTGAAGAATTCTGTTTTCGACTAATTTATATTATTTAAAGATAAATTTTGTTACCATATTTTACAATACTTTTCTAGTTGGTCACCTCCGGAGTTTGCATGTCTAATAAAA